CGTTTCGCCAGCATCTGTGACCGGCATCTTCAGAGGGCAGGAGCACAGACAGGAGCAGTTCTCTCTGTGCCCAGGACACAAAAACAAAACTTCCAGAACACGGCCACACAGCCCGGAAGACCCACACCAGCCATCATATTCCGGCCGTGAAAGCCTTCGACAATACATCAGATTTACTACGGTGCAAAGTAACCCAGCATAGATCTGATGAAAATTGCAAAACAGTTAATTTGTCTGTATCAGAATCCTATCATTTTAGGGTGTTTTTTGTTTTTTGTTGGTCTGCTGTTTCTCCCTTTTTCCCCCTACAGCTACTTCCTCTTGAGAGCCTTAGTGCAGTTTGTTGGTATTTTGGATCCTGGTTACAAGCAACTGCATACTGGTTGCTAGCAGACAAATGGTTACTGCATAAGCATGTCATTAAGGGTATTCCTTTATCTCCAGTATGGTTGGTTGTATGGCTGTTGCAGTAGTTCCTTTGCAGAGGATTTTTTGCAATTTACAGTATCAATCACTGAGGCATGTACACTGCTGTATAAAGAAAATAGGCTGTATTGCCACAATGGTGATTGGGTAACATAAATTCCTAGTCAGGAAATGGCTGAAGTCACAATAGCAGAATAGCAGATAACAGAAGAAAGGCACCAAGTGTTGTTTTAGCGATATGCTGCTATCAAAGCTGGAAAGAATAGTTTGAGCCAGATTTATATTTCAAGATTATCCTTACCAAAAAGCTGTACGTGTACTTGTAGCAGTTTACAAACCAGTCTTGTTCAGTAGAAGGCAGTAGTTATTTCAAGCGGGCCACGCAAAACACAGCAGCAGGCATTTATTTCCATTACATTTTTTATTTATTTATAAATGTAATGTTACATTACATGTGCACTTTTTAATCCCTTAAAATAAATAAGTAAATACCCAGTTGGATTTTCAGCCTTAGATAGCACGGCAAAATGATTTGGCATCACTGGCTATTTTGTCTCGATCCATATAACGCTGGACCAGGGCGGAGGTGACTGTTCTTAGTTTATGCTGATCTCGGTGGAGTTTAGGGCTACAATCCGCCGAATAACTGGTTCCTTACAAACTTTCTTGCCCTTCGTTTTTCACATTACGACTAAATCCATTGCCAAATAAAACAGCCGGGTGAAGCAACTGGTAGTAAAGCCGGTTTAGCTACTTAATCCGATTATTAGGACTCAGCCACGTGGTTACGGTGCAACAGCTCAATGCTACAGTGCAAGACAATCGTTGGGGGTGGGGAAGCGGCGCCAGCACGCCTCTGTTATCGCGCCGCATCCCCCCCCAGCAAGCGCCTCCTGTAGGCAGCCTCTACAGCACTACTGGTGGGAGGGAGGGAGGTTCCTTCTACCCCAAATCGTCTGAATTTACGTTTGCAGTAATAGTCTCAAAAGGCTACGTAGCAAGGAGCGGATATGCAAAACCTCCGCGGAGGGCGGGAGGCCTCCCCGTCGCGCCACCCACCCCAAAGCCAGGCCCCGAAACAAATGCTTCGAAGCACCCGGCTCTTCCCCGAGACTCGCAAGATGAAAGCGGCCAGAAGGGCTCCGAGCGGCAGAAGGGGCGGGTGTTCGCGGAAGGCTCCTCCTCTGCACGCGCTTTCGGCTCGCCCCCCTCCCTCCACCCTCTCTCCTTGCGGAGTCAACCTAGCTCCGGCATCTGAAGGACACGGAGATCAGCCGATGAGGAGGCCGCGTCTCCCACCGCTGGCCAATAGGGGCACCAAGGAGAGGCGGGATGCTCCTCCACCACTAAGTACGCGAGCGGATGGTTGCTAGCGGCGCTCCCCCGCCCGCCTCACTTTGTTGTGGCTCGGAGGTGCGGAGGCTGCGGTCCCGGCACCAGCGGCGGGAGTCCCCCATTTTGGTTTTGGTGGGCCGGGGAGGGGAAGAATAGGAGGAATGACCCCCTCTCAGCGGTAGGCCTCCCCAGGGTAAAGCTAGCTGGGAAGGAGGGGAGCCGTCCGATGTGAGACCCTATTTTGAACGTGGGTCTGGCTAGACGAGAAGCCCCTCCCCCCTTTAATTTAGAAGCCCGAGAGAAAGATAAAGCGGCCCTCCATCCCCTAAACCTCGCGAAAGGGCCCGGGGGAGGAAAAACTGGACTTCGTGTCCATCTGAGGTAAGTGAAGAAGAGGGGGTGTAAGGTGAAGGAAACAAAAGGACCCC